ACTATTGCAGACAAGTCGAAAAATTCATCTTCCTCTTTTCCGATTAGTCTTAAACTGAGTGGCTAAACGAAGCTCGTTGCCGACTAAAACGAGGTATTTTTTGTTCAATTTTATTTGCACAACTGCCAACGAAAGGTCAATGCAAAGTTCCCATACAAAATCCAAGTCAAATTTGTCCGATGACCAGCGAGGGGCGTTATGTGAAGATCTCCTTTTAACGAGTGTGAACGGCAAGCTCTCGCGAGTTGCGATTGCAGCAGTGGCTAGAGACACTACAAGATTCCTCAAGCAAAGACAAGAATGACGACATGCTAAACTTGGAGCTTTTGGACCAGCGTATTGAAGAAGAGAGCCGCCTCGAAGAAGTGTATGACCTTGTAAACATCATAGCAGTTTAATCTTTTAAAATACAGATTCATTATACTATGATTTTGAATGACTGTGAATGTTCGTCTGCAATAGTTCTCAATCAGACTGGTATTACTAAAATAACTTTTGCAATTCTTCTCCAATTTCAATGAAATTACCACCAAAATCATCGTATCGATTAGCTGCATCGATTGCCACTCGAATCAGGACGATTGAAATTCAAGAGAGTAATCGCCAAAACACCATATCAACACCATATCAACACCATGAACGCGAATACAATACAGCGATTGAAGGACTTCGTGAAACAGCACCGTCAGCGCAGTCTCATGTACGGCGAAAAGCTCGACATACTCTCTCTATAAGCTACTCTACGGGAGGACAACACTGTGGATGTCACTGGCACCATAGCCCGACTGCTCGGTCGCAGTACACGGACCGTCAAACTGGTGCTGTCTGCATTCTTGCAGTCTGGAGGGGTAACCGTAGCTAACCCACCAGCCAACACGACAACTCATCATTCACGCGTCCCCAATACACGCGAGGTTCGTGCACTAGTGCGGAGGTATATCCGGGATCGATCAGTCACCCGTACTCGCACCGTCGGGAAGGATGTCCTTGCTTTGCTCCAAGATGCCAATATCATCACAGTGGCGGACAACGCCAAAGACCACGTGGCATCGCTTC